TATATATATATATATATATATATATATATATATATATATGTTTACCGCATGCACATGCACATATTCACATAACGAGAAAAAGAAAGGTTGAGAAAGAGAGAGAAGGAGAGAGATAAATACAATTCATCTGGTCTTAACATTTGATATTATTTTATTTTTTATTTTTTTCTTCTTTTTTATTTCCTTTTCTCTATAATTACTGTTTATTACACATAATCCCATAGAGGAGAAGTTACACACAAACGGACGGACCAACAGACCGACAGACGCACACACACACACCCACACGCAGAGAGAGGGAGAGAGAGAGAGACATATACATATACATATAGTGGATAAAGAAAGAAAGAAAGAGAAAAAAGAAAAACAAAAAAAGAAAAGAAAGTTAAATACATACAGAGATGATATCTTGTGCTGCTATTCAGAAACTCGAGCGATATGGACAACTCGGGCAGAAGCGCCGCAGTACGGAAGACTTTGTGCAGTCATCACTGAAGGACCCAAAGCGTGGAAATGTGTACGCCCTCACACATACAGCAACGTGGAGTGCCTGTTTAGAGGCATTGACAGGAAATGAAAAGAAAGACCTGCAGAAGAATATGAAGAAAATGAAAAAGGAAGAGGAAGAAGAAGAAGAAGAAGAAAAGAGTGTGATGAATAATAATAGCAGGAAAATGTACCCGACTAATAATGAGGAAATGAAGAAGAATGAAGAAGAAGAAGGAGAAGTAATGGAAAATGATATATCAATAGCTGCTTTAACCACACCGACCCCAGTCGTTGCTGTGAATGATTCTTTATTGTATGCTGTGAGTTTCGCCACTGCACTTGTAGCCCATCATTTGGATGAACAGCGATATACACAACGGGAGGATTTATTATCATCTCAACAGCAACAAAGAGAAGTAAAAGATAGTTTGAATGGTAAAGTATTTGGAACTCGTTTAACAGAAGCCGCTGAACTTCTTCAATTATTAAGTGAAGTGGCAGAGGCATGTGGACGTCATATTCACAATCGTAATGATTGTTCTTCTGTGATGACGCAAGCATTAGCGCACCTTATCTCAACAGCTGCAGATACGGTTATGATTGCAACTATTCTTCGACATACAGAAAAAAATGATATGAAGTCTGAAGGGAAATTATTAAAACAATTAAGTTGTAGTGCCACCGCATTATTGGCAGCAGCGGCTAAACAATTACGAACTGCACAGGCACGACAGCCATTAAATTCATTACATAATGTTCGACCTTGTCCAACCCTACTTCATCAATTCCTTACAAGGGTAAAATCTATGAACTCCACAAGTTTAGGAACAACAACAATATCATCTTCATCAACATCAAAGTGTGGAGATATATATATGGCTGAACTTCAAGCAGAGGAGAATGGTGCCACTGTGACAGCACGAATCCTTTCATGGGCTAAATTAACCCGATCTGGAACTCTCATAGCCGCTTTCACACCTTTTACTGTATTTCAAAAACTAAGTTTGGTAGATGCATTGGTGTCTGAGGCTCCAGCATGGTGTTGTTGTATGGAGGTGGAAAATTACCGTCGTGTCTTGTCTCTATTGGTTTCTAGTGCGGCTTGTAATCGTGCTACTCGTATAGTTGTATACTTTCGTGGAGATGATATTAAACTCATTCAAAATAATGTGCGGGATAGTGCGGAGTATGCCCTACACACACATGTCACAACACCACCAGTGGAAGAATCCATATGGAGATCCCTGGCGGAGTTATCCACTGAAAAGGCAGAAGAAGAGAAAAAACAGGAAAAAGAAAAAGAAAAAGAATCTCAACAACAACAACTTTATGGAGTTCTTCTTCTTACGCAATGGATGGCAAGTATTCCATTCTTTTACCGTAGTTTCTGTGCGGAGCAGAGCTGGGTTGTATTTGCGCAAGAGCAGCGACGGATGGTGTTGTTGCAGGAACGTCAGGCACGACGTCAACGACGGGAAGAGCGAAAACGTGGAATTCCTAGCGGTAAATCATCTACTGTAGATGAACAGGAACGTGAGAGAAGTTTGGGTGGTATTAGCAGCAGCAGTAGTACGAAAAATGATGGTAATAATAATAATAATAATAATAATAATAATAATAATAATAATAATAATTCGGATGATGATAATGATGATGATGAACGTCGATCTTTACTTTCACATCAGAGTGCCCTTTCACTTGCGAGTCGGGCAAGTATGCTTTCCACCATGTCAAAGACTTCCATGGCTTCTTACCGCACTTTTATTTCTGTAATTGATGCGGCCCGTAATGGTGGTATTGGCGGAGGTGATGATAATACCATGGATGGACAAGACCTTTCATTACAAGTTCATCAATCCGAAGATAATAATACAAATCTACCTTTAATTCTATTAGAGGAACTTACACTTGCCTTACAACGATTTGTGGAAGCTGCAAGTGAGAATGGTGCTTCTCATATTTTAGATAAATTTGGTCTTCGTGCGCTTGCATGGCGAACGATTGGTGAGATGTACACATTTATTCAAAGTACTATTACAAGTTCTACCGTTACTTCAATAACGGCATCATCAACTACAGCAATTCCACCTTCTATGAATAGTAATGGTGCTATTGTTGGTAGTAATAATAATAATGAAAATAGTACTAGTAAACCTAGTTCTACTGAGACACCCACTGTATTTCACATGGGTCATGATATCCGTTACAATAAGGGTCTTGGATATGAAGTACTTGGATTATTATTTGCAAAGGTTATTTTACCTCAATTATTAAATGTCCATGGTGGATCTCGATCGGCTAGAAGATTAGAAGAAGCCGCCCTTACACGTTGTCTTTCCGCTTATGAAGTTATTGCCCCTCAAGTGATTGATCAAAATATACCAGCAATTCTACAAGTAGCGGCTCATGTAGCTAATGCAGCAGTCCAACAACAACAACAACAACAACAGGAAGAAGATGAGGAAGAAAATGAAATTCATAGAAATGATACAGCCACTATGTTACATGAATTTCTTATAAGCCTGGTAGATCGATTAGGAAAGAGTAATCAAATTCCACTTTTATTAGATGCCATGGTTTCTCATGTAAAGGCAGAAGGTAAAGCCGAACAGGAAAAGGAAGAAAATAATAATAATGATTATGAAGAGGATATGAATAAAGATAAGGATGGTACCACAACGGCTGGTTTACATGAAATATTTGCCCATCCAAGAGTTCGAGCAGCACTTCTACAGGCGTGTAGTATTTCACTTGATCCAGAGAATTTATTGGTCCATCTTCTTGCCTATATATCCCGTTGGGCTTCTGTAGATGATGATGATGATGATGATGAGGATAATGATGAAGAAGAAGAAGAAGGGAATGCTGGTGTTAAGAAGAATGATCATAATAGTATGATGACTGGTGGGATGGGAACTGGAAATACAATGTGGAAATCGCAAGTAACCACTACACTTTCAAAATTACAACCGCAGGAAACTCTATTCTTACTTGATATAGTAGCTACTGTATTGGAGGGGGTTATTGCAACATCTATTACCGCCAGTGCTCTTTTAGAGCGTGCGGTAGAGTTGGAACTTATACTTTCCACCTTCCTTGTTAATCGTCTACATAAAGTATTCTTTCTTAACAATAACGAAGAAGGGGAAAAAGAAGAAGAAGAAGGAGAACACCAGAAGGAGGAGGAGAAAAAAACAAAAGAGGATTCTGTATCATTTGTATTTGCGAGTAATGTAATTGTACGTCCTTCTATGCAACGTCGTCTCATGTTGTATACACTTCATGCTATTTATCAAGCACGAGAGTTGGTTTCCTGTTGTCTGCAGGATCTTGGTATTCACAATGTGGAGGCATATCTACAAATGTTAGAAGAAACTGTCTGGCATGTACATACAAATGTCGGTGCCCTTGTTGGTCCACTCACTATGGAAGATTTACATGTTACTATGCGACTCTCTACTCACATGCGGCATGCCCCGTATGTTCATCGTGCGGTTTTATTACCACAACTCGCCCTGCAGCGACTTACATTAGCGCGTTCAGTCTCTGTAGCGTTAAATATGAATGTTACTCCGGCCGTAGAGGCGAAACGATTGGTGGCTTTTGTGTTGTGTCATATGCGGTTTGTGAGTGATGGGGGATATATTGTGGATGAAGATCCTTTACAGGCCTTACAATTAGCAGATCGCATTAGTGAAGAGGAATGGCGTTGTATTGTTTACTTTGGTAGACCAAAGCGTGTACGTGAGGCACTTGTTTGGCTTTTACGTGTAAGTTTTTCAACATCTATCCGCTCTAATAATAATAATAATAATAATAATAATAATAATAATAATAATAATAATACGGTTGAGAAGAGAGATGCCTGGCAATCTGTACAGTGGCTTTCACACTGTCTCACACACTGTGCTGGTTTCCTCTTGGAGGCGTTGTGTGATGTTGTTATGAGTGTAACAGACGAGGAGGTTCAATCGTCTGTTCGCAGTGTAGAGACATTAGAGAATTCAAAGAAAGAAACATCTCAACAAGAAGAAAAAGAAGAAGAGGAAGAAATAACATTAGTGCGACTCTGTGCGGCCTTAGGGGATGTATTACGTCGAGTGGGGCATATCCCGCAGTGGCCCTCACTTCTTCAGCGTATTGTTCACTGGATATTATTACTTGCCAAGGAGGAAGAAGAAGAAAAAGAAAAGGAAATGGGAAAAAAGATAAAAGGAAAGAATAAGAGTATGAAACTTAAACGATGTCGTGTACTTCAAGAACGACTCTTGCAGTTGGTAATGGATTTTCTCTCTTGCGAGAGTGGAGTTCAATCACTTTTTCGTCGTATCTTACTTCAACCAGAGGAAGAATCTCAAGAAGAACAAAATGAAAAACTTCCTGTACGACATGCTGGACGTAAAACGCATAGAGATAAGGATTATGAAAATGAAGCTTTTATAAAGGCTATTGAAGTACCTTTTATCCCATCTACTATTATGCTGCAAACGAGTACGGCTTCTGTAAATCCTAATCCTCATAAAAATGAAGAGGAGGAGGAAAATACAGAAGATAAGGAAGATGATAGAGAAACAAGGATGAAACAGACAGCAAAGGTTTGTCGTCTTCTTATTCAACAAATCTTTTCAAAGGAATTTGCACTCTTGTTAGTACGTTACTGTCAAGGTAACTCTACAGATATAAACAGTTCTGAAACTAGAATGTTTGGAGCGAATATTCTTTCTCAGCTTTATAGTACAGCATTAACAGCTCTCTCTCGTGGAGAGAAAACAACACATGGGTCATCTTCTTCTTCTTCTTTATCTTCTGCACAGATCTTTACAGTGGCTACTGTGCAGGCATTACGTGATTGTTGTCATGCTGGTGATTTCACTTCTTTATCCACTTTCTTAACTGCTATGAATGGAAGTCCTGTCGCTTTTGTGAATTACTCCCGTGTGGAGAAGGCAGAAGAATTGGAAGGAGGATCTGCACGTAAACGTTATTGCCGTGAATCCATTGAGACTACACAGATTGAGACTTCAGGAGATGCATCTCTTACACGAAAAGAGAAAATGAATAAGAGTAATAATAATAGTAATAGTAGTAATAGTAATAGTCATTCAAAGAGTAAAGATGAAAATGAAGTTTCTGATCTTTCCCACACGACAGAAGAAGAGAAAGGTATGATTTTTCATGAAGTTTCATTACAATGGATGGATCTTCTTAGTACACTTTTTCTTCAGGTAATGCAGAGTCTCTCTACAAGTGAAATAAATAAGAATGAATCTCTTTTATCTGCCTTTACTTCACTTTATGTCTCTCTTGGGAGAGTACGTGGATGGACTCCACGGCCAAACAGTGCCAATGTAAAACGAGTCATGAGAAGTAAAGACCATCATTATTCATCTCAACATAAACGACGTTCATCTCATCAACAACAAGAACAAGAAGAAGAAGGAGAGAATAATAATAATAATAATAATAATAATAATAATAATAATAAGAGTGTGGGTAGTCTTGCTGCAGCTTCAATAGCGGCACCGCGTGTAGCCCAAGCAGTGAAGGAATTATCTCATCTCTTTGCACCTACGGATACGGCGGCTAGGCGTTGTAGTCTTTCCATACTTGTTTCTATGCTCACTTCACACAGTACACATGCCCTGCGAACACTGTGGGTATTGTGTATAGCCCATGAGGAACGTAGTCATCTCGCTCTTGATATCTCAGATGGAATGAATAATGATAATAATAATAATAATAATAATAATAATAATAATAATAATAACAATAATAGGAGTAAAAACAAGAACAATAACAGTAACAATAAAAATAAGAATAACAACTGGCTTGCGGCGGTGTTAAGTTGTTTTGATCCACGTGAACACTACAGTTCTTCTCATAAGGATGTAATGCAGAAACTTCTCCATGCGGCGGAAACAGCAGTGATGCGAGAGAAGAATCGTCCATTATTTATTCTCTCAGCATTACAGCGAGAGCCGGTCTGTTATAGTGATCTAGCCACAGAGTGGTTAATGGAACAATTACGTGTAATACCTTCATTATTGTTATTATTATTTTCTAATGAAACCGCATCGGCGTTACTATTACCGCAGGAGTATATGCATGGGCTCTTACATGAAGCCATTTCACTCACATCCATATCCTCTCAATCTCAATCTCAATCTTCTTCTTCTTCATATGCATTGAATTTGGGGAGACATAAACAATTACTATTAACAGCAAGTGAGGCCCTTCAACAACTCAGTGTTGTTCCTCATATGCGATTTAGTGCCTGGCGTGCGGAAATGAAGCGTCTACTCGTGGCGAGTGGAGCAACCGCTCTTCATAGTGTTGACACTATTAACAGCAATCATAATAATAATAATAATAATAATAATAATAATAATAATTCTATAGCTTTGTGGTGTCGTGTGTTAGAGCTCTGTGCCCTTCCTCTACCGGCACTTCATCAGGACGATGTGTTTGTTGATCACGAACTGAGTTTTGTGCATAATGTCCTCTCTGGCCGTAGTATTGCACTCTGCAGTAAAGATGAGGAGAAATTGTTATTACGAGTATTACGATTATTTGCCCGTACATTATTACCACTTGGTGTACTCTGGCGTCGGCCGCATTTATTGCCGACTCTTTTATCTGAACTTCTCACTCGTTGTTTAGATGGTGTGGGCCATGGACACTGTGGTCGTGTGGTGTTAAATCAATTATCATCCTTCTTCTTTCAACTGGTAAAGGATGCAACCCATGGCAGCAATCACAATCATCATTATCATAATAATTATAATAATTATAATAATAATAATAATAATAATAACAATACTTCTGCTGGTGCTTCCATGTCGGTGAAAACACTTTGTCTTGCGGCGATTACATCTTGTCTTTTCCGTCTCTCTGCATCTTATGTAGATGTCTTCACAACTCACAGCAGAGATGTGGATTATCTTGCGGTGGACTTTTTGAAGGCATTACAGCAAGTTCACTTACCTAGACGTCGTACACCTTCGGCATTACGTCATCCTCCTAAAGATACCTCTTCACGTCGTAAAGGAGAAGAAAAAGAAGAGGGAGAAGAAGAAGAAGAAGGAAATAATAATAATAATAATAATAATAATAATAATAATAATAATAATAATAATAATAAACAGAAGGAAAAGAAGAAGGATGAATCTACACAACCGTGGATTTGGTCAGATGCTACGATGTGTGATCTTAGTTATGCGTGTGTTGGTAATGATGATGGTCAGAGTTTACTGCGGCAGGCAGCTGAGCGAGTGGAGGAGGAAGATGGAAATGGTGAACGGCAGATATTTATAATTCCAAAGTAAAGAAGTCTCTTGACTAAGAGAGAGAGAGAGAGTTGGTATACGAGAGAGGAGATTGGCTGAGGATTTATGTCCAGCCTTTTTTTTATCCTTTTCTTTCTTTTTTTTTTCTATTTTGATAATAAAGATCGAATAAGATGTGCATACATATATGTATATATATATATATATATATATTATGTGTGTGCTTGCAGGAATGCGTAATAATTAAAAATAATTCTAATTAAAAAGAAAAAAAAAACAGTATTTTTATTTGAATCAAAGAAGCATATACTAGACCAGACAAGTATATATATATATATATTTGTTTACTAGTTATGGACGAGGTAAACCGCTGTGGTAATATGTGTTGTTCACTTTATTTTCTTTCTTCTCTCATTTCTAATCATTTTCAGTTCTCCACGCACAAGTGTCGACTCATAAGGAAGAAGAAGGAAGAATAAATAAGAGAGAAAATAAGTAATCCCCTTCTCTTTTATATATACATATATAGTAGTTATATAGTTATATATATATTTATTTATATATTTGTTTCTCTGATTACTTCACTTGGCGTAAGAATACCAACAAACAGAAAAAAGAAAAAGAAAAAAGAAAAAAAAGAATAACTCCTACTACAATGAGTTCCCAGCCTACATATATGGAATCCCCTACAGTGCCACTCATTCATAGACACAAAATGCACACTCCAGATACACGAAAATCCGGTCTTATGGGGAAAATCCGTGATTTTTTAAAACAAACAGCTATTGCCCTTAGTGATACGCGTGGACTTGTTACTGTAGTGATGGTCTGCACTCTCTTCTTTGTTGGTTGGCGTGCGGCTGGAATTTTATTAAACTGTGAAAACCCACTCGTTGTGGTTCTCTCTGGTAGTATGGAGCCCGCCTATTATCGTGGAGATCTGCTGCTTCTACACAAGGCCACACCTATCACTATTTCCGATGTGATTGTCTTTTCACTACCCAATCGAACTGTGCCGATTGTCCACCGTGTGCATCGCATGCATGAGGATGGTGGAGTGCAATTGTTTCTCACAAAAGGTGATAATAATGAGTTTGATGATCGCACATTATATCCGGATGGATATCAGTGGGTGAAGAAGGAAGATATTATTGGAAAAGTCTTTCTCATCATTCCACATGCCGGCTTTCTAACACTTATAGCAGAGGATAAACCATGGTTTAAGGGAGTCGTGCTGATTGCATCTTTACTATGGGGATGGATGGCAGGAGTGTGAAGAGTATGGAATGGAAAAAAAAAGAGAGAGAGAGAGAGAGAAGGAAAGTCTTGTTTATGCTGTTTGTTTATTTGTATATCAGATAATAAATACTTTTTTTTTTTTTTTTTGCTTTTGCACAAGGCATTGCTAAACCTTTCTTCTTACTCCAAGTCGTCTCATTTGTGCGTTCATTATAGGTGTGTATATTTATGTATGTGCGCTCCTATAGGTTGGTAAAGTGTTTGGATGTGCTAATAGCAGCCCGAAGCCGAAGTGTTGTACTGTGATCTTAATCTATTTTCACTGTTTGAATCCATTGATAATTATCAAATTATGTCTATATCTACTGTGTTTTCTCTTTCTTTGCTTATCCCAGACTCTTATGTGATCTTCTTTCTCTCTCTCTCTATCTATCTATCTATCTATCTATCTATCTTTATATATATTTATTGTTTGTATATTGGATACAGAAACCCCCTTGGGTGGTGTGAGGTTAGAGATATTATCCGCTTGTTT